GGGCGCTTAACCACTGAGCCACATTCCCAGTCCTTTTATATATTTTATTTAGAGACAGGACCTCACTAAGTTGCTAAGGCTGGCTTTAAACTTGGATCCATCTGCCTCAGCCTCCTGAGCCACTGGGATTATAGGTGTGCACCACCATGCCTAGTGGTGATTTTACATTTAAGTAGCTATTGCTCTTTTTTATTAGTGAAAGACACCTCTAGTGGCTGATGCATGCTTCTATTATAGCCCATATTTTCCACCCAGAATTGATACTTTTCTTTCATAAGCAGAGAATCGCACCAGTTCTAGCTAGCCTGTGAAGACCCCTGAGCAGCTTCCATCATGCTTCTTCATGAACTGCAGGTAGTTCACTGATGACTTTTTCCCCATCTAAATCCAGAGTTCTAGCAGGGCCCAAACAGATATGCTGTAGTGTGTTCCTGTCTGACTACTGGGTGATGGTGATTCATTTTGTCATTTTATTGTTAGTCACCAGCCTCAAATAACTCAGCTTCCCAAATGACCAATGATATTAACAAAACCTCACATACAAATACTGTGATCATGGCCCTTGTGACGTGAGCAAACACCTCTGTGTGCATGTTCACAGTGGTGGGAAATGAGACAGGAGGTGCAGAGCTTACACAATCACAGGTTTATTTGTCCTAAATAAATACAACCTGGGAACAATCATTTCAGTGCCCCAGAACACTATTCCCCCACCCCCAAAAAAAGCAGCTTAAGATATGGGCACACAGGAGGCTGGGGTTTGGCTCAGTGGTAGAGTGCTTGCCTACCACATGAGGTACTGGGTTCAATTTTCAGCACCACATAAAAATAAAAATAAATAAAATTGTAACTACAATATCCATCTACAACTAAAATTAATATATGTATATACACATATATATACATATAAACATGTGTGCCCATGTACATAATATATAAAACATGGGCACACGTTTGCAGCATATGTTCTCAGGTTAGGCTCAGAAGGTTGTTTGCTCTGGGTTGTGCTAGGCTGACCTCAGCTGTGGGATAACTCAGGTTTGTTTTCTCTCTTGGTCCTGTACCTGGTGTGAGTCTCCTCCAGGTTCTCTCCAGGTTTATATACTGGAAGTTTGGTCTCCAGTGTGGTGGTACTGAGGTGATGTAACCTTTAAATCTTTAAGTTGTGAGGTCCAACAGAAGGTAATTAAGTCATGGGGGCGCTATCCTCACACAGTAGATTAATGCTGTCCTACAGAAGTATCAGGTGTGGAAGGAGGGGATTAGTTCTGTCCAGAGCAGTTGTTATGAAAAGAGCAAGCCAGACCCTTCCCCATTTCTGGCTTCATCTTCTTTTTTAATTTTTTGGTACTGGGGTTGAACCCAGGAGTGCTTTACCATTGAGCCATACCTTCAGTCCTTTTTTTTTTTTTTATCTTTTGAGTCGGGGTGTTGCTAAGTTGCTGAAGCTGGCCTCCAATTTGCGATCATCCTGTAGGCCTGGGAAACATGACTCAGGCTTGACTACTGGCAAACACACGGCCCAGAGATCTCCACACAATCCGGGTGCTAGGTCAGCCTCCTGAGTCGCTGAGATTATAGGTGCTCACCTCACCTGGCCCATCTCTTGCTTCTTGTTTCACATGCCATATGATCATGTATGCTTCTGCCATTTGATACCATCTGCCATGAGGACACACCAGAGCTGAGGGGATGCTACATGCTCTTGAGCCCCCAGAACTGTGGGTTAAACAAACCTCCCTCTCTCTCTTTTTTCCTTCCTTTCTTTCTTTTTTTCTTTCTTTCTTTTTTTTTTTTTTTTTTGCTACTAGAGATTGAACCCGGGGTGCTTAACCACTGAGCCACATCCCTACCCCCTTTTAAAATTTTTCTTATTTTGAGACAGGGTTTTGCTAAATTGCTTAGGGTCTTGCTTAGTTGCCGAGGCTGGCCTTGAACTTGCAATCCTCCTACTTCAGCTTCCAAAGTCACTGGGATTATAGGTGTGCACTATCATGTCCACCAACAAACCTCTTTTCTTTATGAAGTATCTCACTGTTAGGTATTTCGTTATAACAATACAAAATGGACTAAGGTAGTCCCAGCTGGAGAGGCCTGATGCTGCTCCCTTAAGCCTCTGTCTTTCCTGCCTCTCTCTTCTGCAACCTAGAGGGAGAAGCATTAAGGACTCTTTGGCTCTATGTCCATCCCTTGCTGAGAGCTTTGACCTCTGACACCATTGGACCCATTCCCAACTGGCACAAAAAAGGTTACTTCTGATCATGGAAGGAGCTTACCCAGGACAAACAGGAGAAATTGTGGCACAGCTGGTAAGTGAGTGGGAGGCACTCTTCCTTTAGTCCTGCAAGGAGTCTGAGAACTCCCAAGAAGGGACAGAGGAACACTGGTCTCCTCCACCAGTTATTCCTTGGGGCCTTGGTCCACTAGGGAGCTGCAAGTTGTGGAGATCATTCTTTGTCTTCTTTTTACAGCAGAGGCTCAGAGGTTTGGGTCCATGTTCTCCTGGTCCGAGGCTGCATCTTCATCATTTGGAGACTCCTGAATCAGAGCCAAAAAGCCCAGTCACAAGCTTTTCCTGTTCTCTAGGCCATAGCCTGGGAGGCCAGCATTTATTTCCTCCTACCTCCATCCCCAAAAGAGCCAGTAGAGGGCTCTGCCACCCCAGGGTTCTATTGGGCCTTTCCTCTGTCCCAGCCTGCCAAAGTCACAGGCCCACCACTAGGTGATTCTTTTTTTTTTTCTCAATAGTGTAGGGGATTGAACCCAGGGTCCAGTGCATGCTAGGCAAGTGCTCCACTACTGAGATATACCCCCAGCCCTTTTTAAAAAGATTTGAGACAGGGTCTGGCTAAGTTGTCCAGGCTGGCCTCAAACTTGCCATTCTCCTGCCTCAGCCTCCTGTGGTTGATTCCCTCTTACCAGATGGAGGTCTCTGCCACGCCGCAGGGTGGCATAGTAGTGCAGCACACGGGGGTCACAGTGAACCACCATGGGGTCAAAGTCTAGTACACGCAGACCCTGTAGGCTGCGGGCCCGGGAAAGGGCCACATAGGCTTGACCGCTGGCAAACACGCGTCCCAGAGAGATCTCCACACAATCTAGAGACATGCCCTGGGGGATGGAGAGACAGAGAGAGACAGTTTAGTCTGGAGTCCCCTGCACCCAAGATTTGATCCTTCACCAGCCCAGTGACTGCCCCCAGATCTCCTCACTCAGTCCAGAGAGGCTCCGGCAGAGGGAAAGCCTAACTGCAGACGGGGTCTGAATACAGGGGGACATGGATGGATTCAGGGTAAGAAGTGGGGGGTGAAAGGAAAGAGCTCAGACTCTAGGTCACCCAGGGGTGAAACTGAATCCTGGCTCTGACACTCCCTAACTGTGTGACCTTGGACAAGTTCCTTAGTCCCTTAGTGTTCTTCTCTGAGAAAGGGGAATGATTATTAATTACATGTACTTTATATAGTTTTGTGTTTTTTTTTTTTTTATACTAGGGTTTTAACCCAGGGGTGCTTTACCACTGAGTCACATCCCCAGCCCTTTTTATTTTTTGAGATAGGGTCTTGCTAAATTGCTTAGGTCCCTGCTAAATTGCTGAGGCTGCCCTTGAACTTGGGATCCTCCTGCCTCCCAAGTCACTGAGATTATAGGCATGAGCTGCAGCACCCAGCTTCTTACTGTTTTTGTAGGGATTAATGTATCTGGTAGTGGCTCAGCAAATGGAAAAAGCAAAGAGGAAGTGACTTATATCCTTCCCTGGAGAAGGGCTGCGAAATCTACTAAAGAAAGATCTATTCTGAGGACAGCGAGGAAGAAGGTTTATTCTACTCCTGATCTGGAACTTTCCATTTAGGTCACAGGCTATAAGGCCTTCAAGGCACTCAACCTAACATGTCCCAGGTATATGCTGTCTACTCTGCCCTGCTGTGTCCCCACTCCCTCACTGAGTGGTCACCTGGCTCTTGTGGATGGATATCGCCCAGGCCAGCTGGAGGGGCAGCTGCTGGCGACTGAGGAGTTGGCCCCCAGTGGCCTGAACTGTCCAACGGTCAGCATGGATGACCTCAGTGACTCCACACAGGAAGCGCACTCGGGGCAGCCCTGAGGAAGGCACAGAGAAGTCCCACCTTTTAGTCCTGCTTCATGGCTGAGAGGAGAGGTCTCTGGTCTTTTCCTCCCACACTTTCCCCAGGCCCTACTGCAAACCCACACAGCACAACTGTCCTTCCCTATCACTTACCTCTCCCTTCAGTCTCGAACCCGACTACTACACCTCGGGCTCCGTTCACCAGGCCCCTGGACACAGCTAAATTCTTCACCAGCATCACCTGAGGGGAAGGGGGACTAGAGAAGTGGCAAAGGGCCCATCCTTACACCTGGATCAACTCTAGCAGTCACTATCAGAGGCCAAGGGCAGGGGGTTATCATCAAGGGGTGCCCAGTCCCAATCCTTAGCTCTACCACCAGTTAATTCTGACCGCTGGGGCAGACAGCCTTAATTCCCAGGATCTCAATTTCCCCTGTGTCAAAGAGGAATACATTTGCCCAGTTTGCCTCAGGAGGAAGAGGTAAAGCCTGTAAGGTCACCTATATCACCAGGCTACAGAAATGATCAGATCTCTTATGGGGCCACAAATCTTGAGGGATGGCCCTTGGGTCCTGCCACCCTGGTCTCAGCCACACTGTGCCTTTGTTTTCCCTGTGGGTACCCTCTGGGCCCAGAGGAAAGTCTCCCATTCTGCTCACCCCACTGTTATGGGAGGGATGAGGACTCAGCCATCTATAAGGTACACGACTAAAGACAGCCAGGAGGGAGGTGTTTCAAACCCCATTTTAGAAACAAGGCAACTGAGCTTCAGCAAAGGAAGGACTTGCCTAAAGTGACATAGCTTGGAGGACCTCCAGGAGTAAGAAAAGGAGGGCAGTGGAAAACTGAAGGTAGAAAGGTGGGTGGAAACCAGATGGAGGTTTTTGTGAGGTCATAGCTGGTGCACTGGCTACAGAATGGCCTGGGCAGAGGGATTGGGGAGGCTCATACAAGACAGTCCAGATTGCCAGGGTCTAGACCTAATTTCCTACTCACCTGGGCCCCCAGCTTTAGCTGAAGAAGCTGGCCAACAGGACACTGGGCATCCAGGGTCCTGGCTAACTCAGGGTTGCTATCCATAGCCTCAAAGCTATGTACCTCACCTGGAAAAAGAGAGATGGAAAAACAGGATTATGAATCATTGACTTGTGGCTCAGCTTCTAAAACCACATATTAGACCATGGTATGGGAGATAGGCCGCTCAGACCTAGTGGGTGCTTTGGAATCAGTCTGCCCAACCTCTTAAGATCACAGTTAATTCTGCAAATGTAAGGGCCTTTATGGTCACAGAGGTTGAGACCCTGGATACCCAAATGATCCTAAAAGCCCAGGCTGCCTGGGAGCCACACCTGCCTGATGACCCCTCCCAGCTGGTCTTACCTAGTCCTGGATCTCTAATTACCTGGCAGCTCCTGCAGCCGTTTCTCATTGGTGAGGGCCACGTCATCCTGGTGGGTGCAGAGCCTTGTGGCCACAATTCCGTCTCGCCCTACCTTGTGGGCAGCTGTGGCCCTGAGCTGGCGGGTCACCTCATCAGAGCACCTGTGGGGGCTGGGCTATTAGGGCAGAGCTCACTTACACCAGAGGAGGTGGGGAACATGGGCAGTATGGCCCGAGCAGCAGGCTATAGGTCAGGCCTGAGAACTGGAAAAGGGTACCAGGGCCAGATATGCTGGCTCCCAGGTTGGCCAGTTTGTCCTTTTTCCACTTGGACCCCAGATATGGAGAATGAGCATGGGGTTGGGGTGCTAGCTGTGATCATATGTGAGTGCCTTTTCTGTGTCTGTTCCCCCAGTAGGAGCTGACCAATATCCCACCCCAAAGTGTTTCTGAGGAAGCTGGAAATGAGGAGTGAACATAGGCCAGAGGTTTGCAGGCCTGGGACAAGGCACTGATGTAGATAATACTGGCTACCCTGTCATCAAATGGCTCTCCAACGTACAATTTTCTAGCCACTTGCCTGCTGCCTTGGATGAAATAGCAAGCCTGTATTTCTATCTTCTCTCATGTCAAGCCACTTTTCACACCGAGGCCCAGATGCAATAGCCACCAAATAGGAATAGCTTGGAACCTTCTCTGCCTATACTGCCACTTGGCCTTCCCCACATGTGTCAGTGTGTGCTGTGCTCCCTCCCCACCTACTTCCCAAATCTACAAAAAGTTTCCCCAGGCATAGACTCTCTGCCACCTGAGTCCCATCCCAATCAGACCTATCTTTCCGGGTCCAGGTCTGCTCACCTTCCTGGCCTCCTTTCCACTTCCACCTTAAGATAGGCACAGTACTTTAACTTTGACCTCAGTAGGTAGATGTCAGGTACATAACCTTTCCTTCCCTACTAATTGACCCTGACCCTACAGGGTCCCAGAGTAGACGGAGCTTGGGTTTTAAGACTCAGATCTGGGTTCAAGTTCCAGCTCAGCCACTTACTGGACATAAATTTGTATGAGTCACTTCACTTCTTTGACCCAGTTTCTGCATCTGGAATGGGGATGTTGACATTTCTGAACCCCTGCATGTCCATTTTCTTCCTTGATACCTACTCTATGCCAGCCTTTGTGTTGGGTGATAGGAATTCAAATCCAAGGGAGGCTGGGTCCCTCACTTGCAGGGACCATGTTTTTGGAGTCATCGACTGCCATTTGTCCTGAGTTGACCAGTGTCCTGCCTAAAACTCCTCTTTTAGTGGACTACTTACTCCTGAGAACAGGCATCTCTCCCCCTACCCTGGGTCACTGTGCTTGGTTGCTCACCCCATGGTCCCTTCTCTTTCTGCCAGGGCCTACCTGCCTAGCCTCACAGCCTGCAACAGAGAGATGAAGGTCTTGTCCGCCTGCCTCCACACTTCAGTGAGCTCCAGGGTCACTGGCACACACCTCTTCCAGCTCTTGGCCTGTTTGGGGTAAGGGTGGGGGGTGGGTCAGGGAACACTGCTAACCCCCCGGGGGGGGCAGGGCCAGGGGGTGAGTGGTACCTGGAAGCAGAACTGAGGGGGTTGGGAGCCCTTGGTCACTGGTGGCAGCTGCAGGAAGTCCCCACAGATAATGAGCTGGATCCCTCCAAATGGCTTGTTCTGCTGGCGGACAGCTCTGGAGGGGAGCAGGTAGTGCTTTAAAAAAGCTAAGTAGACTGTTCCACTTGGGAAATAACCAGATTCTGGCCTCAGTTACTACCCTCACCATATATACTAACCTGGCCACAGCCTCCAGCTTATCAAACAAGTCTGCCTCCACCATGGAGATCTCGTCAATGATCAGCCTCTGGCAGTTCAGCCAGGCCTGCCGCACGCCTGGCCGCTGTGCCAGAGCCACACACTGGGCCAGGGGAGCCTTGCCTGAGCCGATGCCTGTGAATGAAACTACTCAGCCTGAACTGAGACCCCAGCCCCCATCAATGCTGCCCTCCTTTCCCTCTACCCCAGAAGTCTGACTTGCTCTTATCTCAAGCCCCAGGGGCTCCCACTTACCTGCAAAAGCATGGAGGGTAGTGCCCCCAATGTGACAGGCTGCCACCCCAGTGCTAGCAGTGGCCACTGTGCCTGTGGGGGGCAGTGAGCCCAGGATCCGCTTCAGCAGATATGACTTCCCAGTCCCTGGACAGGAGGCAAAGTCAGGGCTGCCTGTTCTTCCATCCTACCTCCCCCCCCCCTCCACTCTGCCCCTGCTACCTGCGCTCCCAGTGAAGAAAATGCTCTGGCCTTTTAGGACAACCCTCAGCACTGCAGCCTGTTCCTCAGAAAGCTGTGTCTTGGTGGGGAGCAAGCTCAGCCTCTTCACAGGTAGAGGCCACCTTGGGGCTTCCTGATAGAGACAGGGCTGTCTCAGAGCCTCCTCCCACCTCCCCAGACATTACTCCTACCCTTCTTGATCTGTGTTCAATACAGACTGTTGGCTTTCTCCCTCGGTTGCCTTCACTTCCTGGTACCCTAGGACAGCTCTGGTTCACCTGGAGATCTTGCCAGTAACTACTGGGTCTCTCCTCGTGCCCTGAAGATTCCCAGTGTATGGGTCTGGATCCTCCCTCAGCTTCCTCCTCTGGGTTCCTTCACCTTTCTGGTTCTCTCACCCAAATTTTCTTCTCATTTCTCCTCCTATTCCAAAATTCTCACCTCAAAATATCCAAGCAACACCCTGCCCAACTAAGGCTCCTTCTTGTTCCATCTCTAGCTTTTCGCCAGCTTAGTCTCAAAACCCTGTGGTCAACAACCAACCTGCCCCAGTCCAAAAACGGTTGTCAGACCACCAGACATGTTTCCCTCATCTGATGGGAATGTTGACTGTCCAGACACTGTTGACTGCTTCACTTCTCCCCAAATACATTAATATACTCCTAATTTTCCTTTTTTTGTGTGTGTATGTGTGTACAAGGGATTTGAACCCCGGGATGCTTAATCACTGAGTCACATCCTCAGTCCCCCGCCCCCACTTTTAAATATGTTTTATTTTAAGACAGGGTCTTGATAAGTTACTTTGGACCTTGCTAAATTGCTGGGGTTGGCTTTGTACTCAAAATCCTCCTGCCTCAGCCTCTGAGCTGCTGGGATTATAGGCGTTGGTCTATTTTGCCTTCTTCTTTTTCTTTTTAAATTTACTTTGCCTTCCATTTTTTTAAACCTGTATTGGACACAGTACCTTTATTTTATTTATTTGTTTTTTAATGTGGTGCTGAGGATCAAACCAGCGCCTCGAACATGCTAGGAGAGCGCTCTACGGCTGAGCCCCCTACTTTGCCTTCTTAAATCGCCTTTTCTGGCGTTCTCTTAGCTTTTATTATGGCCTGGACTCTCATTACCTGTTCTTGCTTATTCAGGTTCAGGGCTTATATATGGGAAGCACAGAAGAGTCCAACGAACCTGTCATATTCCATGACCTATGGCATCTCTGAGCTCACAGCTGTTCCCTGAATATTGCCACAGTCTAGTCCCCCACACTTGGGCCTCCTTAGTCTCTTCCATCTTAATGATTAAGCATACCTAATCCCAAAGACGTGCCCATTCTCCCGTTCTCACCATGCTGGGCTTGGCTCCAGTCCCGGGTTCCATCGGCTGCTTGGCCAGCGTGGTGTCTAGAACCCGCGTTGCTGCCACACGCCGCAGCTCCTCCGGCTGCACTGGGCTGATGGTGACGAAGTCGCGGGGTCGAGGGCTGAGCAGCTTCGCGAGGGCAGAGGCAGGCCCGGGACCCGGGTCCGCAGCCAGCTTCAGACGCAGTGTGCGCAAGAAACGCCGCAGGCGGTCCGGGGGGCAGTCGGAGAGCAGCAGCTGCACGGCGCCCGCCCGGGGAACGGCGTCTGCTGGGAGCCTCAACGTACTGCGCCCCGCTGCGGCGAACCGTGTGAAGAGACGCGCGGCGCGCAGGGGGAAGCAGCGCGGTTGCCCGGCTGGCCCCGGAGCCTGCAGCCGCAGCATCAACTCACGGCGCTCGTTTCGACCCAGGCTCAGCTCCGCGGTGCGTAAGGTCTGGCGTTTCCGTGGCTGCCCTCCTGGGCTCAGCTCCTCCACCGCCACACGGCACCGCAGGTCCGCGTGGTCACCTTCCGCTGCCGCCACCTGGGTGCTCGAGAGCATTGCTACCACCTCTGCAAGTCTGCGAAAAGACCGGAGCATAGAGGTCACAGAGATTCAGGATATAATAGGTGGTCCGTAACCGGGAACCCTGTCATACAGGGTCATGGACATTCTCACTGGCAACACAAGGAAGTCACTAGAAACGGTAAAAGGTCCTTGGGGCTAATCGAAAGCCCACTCTAGAAATATACTCTAGGGGCAGCGACAAAAGTATCAGAAACAGAAACCTCGGTTGTCCTGCTAGGACCCCGCATTTCATGGGGGCATGGGCGGAGGAGGAGGATGAGACAAAAAGGCCTGCTTTGCTTTGAGACCCAAAACCAGCACGGTAATCGTCATGGTCCTCTCTCGGAAAATCAAGAGAGTCTCAAGTGTGGAGATGGAAAGGGACTTACATGAAATGTGCGCCTTCTGTTTTCCAAGTTAGGTTTATGGGTAGCCAGGCAGGTCTCTATTACAGAAGTGAAAACAGACTGGGAGAGACAAACTTTTTTGCCCTTGACTAGTAGGTCTCACGGTCAGTGTGATTCTAATGCCCAGAGTTTCCCACCTCCAAGGTGGGGGTGGGGTGGAAAATATTTGGCAAAGGAATTCACAGGTAAATCCCGGGGTCCCGGAAAACCCGGAAACCGTGCTCCCTCCGTCTGACCCACTTATCTGTACCTTCCCGACGGGGACCCCTACAAGAACCAGATTCTCTGCCTCCCATTTCAGAGGTCGAGCAGGAACTCACTTGTGCGGGCAGTCGCAACAATAAACCGGCAGACAGGCGAAGCTGACAAACTAGGAACTTTCAAATACTTGGGATAGAAAAATCAACCTATGACAGGTCGGGTCTTTAAATCCTTCAGCCAATCAACAGCGTGGGCGTGCCCATGGGGGCGGGGCTTCCGTTGGTTCCCACTTCCAGAAATTTGGGTCTTCTCAATCGCACACCCGAGGAAAGTTATTTGTGATACCCCAGTCTACTTCCTCCGGTATATGATTGAGCGTGGTGTAAGGAGGCAGAAACTGCTTTGATTGGCTTGAACTTCTGCTCTAGTCTCACAATGCAACTCTGAAGTTTTGAGAATTATTCTATCAACACCCTCCCTCTTAGCTCTAGCTCACACACTGCGGCTCACTCTGTTTCCACTCAGTACCATTGTTCACTTCCGAGTAAATCACCCCATGGCTTACCGAGTCCCCTATCCTGCCCCACAACACTCTTCACCCTTCTCTGCCCTTTTAAGAATCTTTTTTTTTTTTTTCATTTGTCTTTCCCTCCCTGCTGATGCCCATAGGAAAGGAACTCTGAAATCTGTGCCAGGTGTCAAAAGGGCATAAGAAAAGGAAGGATTCCCAGGCTTCAGGGAATTCTTTTTTTTTGGGGGGGGGAGGGCGGAGGGGAGGGGTACTGGGGATTAAATTCATGAGCACTCAATCACTGAGCCATATCCCCAGCCCTGTTTTGTATTTTGTTTGTCTCTCCCAGTCTGTTTTCACTTCTGTAATAGAGACCTGCCTGGCTACCCATAAACCTAACTTGGAAAACAGAAGGCGCACATTTCATGTAAGTCCCTTTCCCATCTCCACGCTTAGAGATAGAAACCCTCACAGAATTGCTTTTGCTGAGGTTAGTTTTGAATTCGCGATCCTCCAGAGCCCATGGAATTACAGGCGTGTGCCACTGAGCCTGGCTCTTCAGGGGATTTTTTTTTTTAAATTTTGTTTTAGTTGTTGATAGACCTTTATTTTACTTATTTATATGCGGTGCTGAAAATTGAACTCAGTGCCTCACATTTGCCAGGCACATGCGCTACCGCTGAGCCACAACCCCTGCCCTTCAGGGGATTCTTATCCCTCTTGTTATACTGGATGCTCTGAGAATTTGTTTTTATTTTTATTTTTTTTAAAGAGAGTGAGAGAGGAGAGAGAGAGAGAACTTTTAATATTTATTTTTTAGTTCTCGGCGGACACAACACCTTGGTTGGTATGTGGTGCTGGGGATCGAACCCGGGCAGCACGCAAGCCAGGCGAGCGCGCTACCGCTTGAGCCACATCCCCAGCCCCTGAGAATTTGTTTTTAAATTCTCATTCTCGTTTTTTCCTCGTCAAAACTTGGAATGACAAGCTAAAAGATTTTTACGGGTGAGTACAACCACATCATTTTACAGATAATGATAGCTCCCATATTTCTTTGTGTGTGTGTGTTTGTGTGTGGTTGAACCCAGGGCACTTAACCCCAGCCATTTTTTTCCTTTTAATTTTGAAACAAGAGTTCCCATTGAGTAGCCTAGGGTCTCACTAAATTGCTAAATTGCTGAGGCTTGAATTTCTGTTCCTACTGCCTCATCCTCCGGAGCTGCCAGGATTATAGACATTCGCCTAAGGGCCCAGCACTTTTCTTTTCTTCCTTATTTGGTACTAGGGTTTGAACTTAGGGTACTAGACCACTGAGCCACAGTCATCCCTATATTTTGTATTTTATTTAGAGACAGGGTCTCACTGAGTTGCTTAGTGCCTTGCTGTTGCTTAGGCTGGCTTTGAACTGGTGATCCTCCTGCCTCAGCCTCCCAATTTCCTGAGGCTGGCCTTGAACATATGATTTTCCTGCCTCAGCCTCCCAAATTGCTGGAGTACAGGCAAACACTACCACAACTAGCTAACAAAACTTTTAGAAAATTTTCTTCATCAGTGTTGTCTTGACATATCGAGTACCTGTGACATAGGTTTTATTTTTTTATTTTTTTAAATATTTATTTTTTAGTTGTAGTTGGACACAATACCTTTACTTGTTTTTATGTGGTGCTGAGGATTGAATCCAGGGCCTCGGGCTTGCTAAGCAAGCACACTACCACTGAGCCACAACGCCAGCCCAACATAGGTTTTATGTATAAGTAAATAAATTTACAGATGTGGCTAATAATTTTGAGTCCAGCATGGTGTCCCATGTCTATATTTCTACCTACTCAAAGGTGATCACAGGAGGATTGCAATTTTCCAGCCAGCTTTGGCAACTAGGTGGGACCCTGTCTCAAAATAAAATTAAAAGGGCTGGGGATGTAGTTCAGTGGTAGAGTGACTGTCTAGCATGATCCAGGCCCTGGGTTGAATCCCCAGCACCAGAAAGTAAAATTGAGATATGGGGATTATTCAGAGAATCAGAGATTTGATAAAGGAAGAAGACCAAAAAGGGAGGGAAGGAGGAAGGCAGAGAGAGATATGTTACTGTTATTGCTGGCTTTGAAAATAGAGGAAATAGCACCTGCGATGCAACAGGTTTCTAATCCTAGGAGCTCCAGAGGCTAAGGCAGGAGGATAACAAGTTCGAGGGCAGCCTCAGCAACTAAGCAAGGCCCTAAGCAATTTAATGAGTCTCTGTCTCAAAAATAAAAAATAAAAAGGACTGGGGATATAGCCCAATAGTAAAGTACTCTTGGCTTCAATCCCCAGTTTAAAAAACATATATAGAAATAATTCTTCTTCTTCTCCTCCTCCTCCTCCTTCTCCTCCTCCTTCTTCTTTTTCTTCTTTCCAGAAATTGAACTCAGGGGTGCTTAACCATTAAGCCACCCTCCAGCTCTTTTATATTTATATTTTATTTTGAGACAGGGTCTTACCTAATTGATTAGGGTCTCTCTAAATTGCTAAGGCTGGCTTTGAACTTGAGATCCTCCTGCCTCAGCTTCCTGAGCTTTTAGGTTTTACAAGTGTGCACCACTGTGCTTGGCTACATAGTAATTCTTTGTTTTTTTGGTACCTGGGATTGAACTCAGGGTACTCGACCACTGAGCCACATCCCCAGCCCTAATTTGTATTTTATTTGGAGACAGAGTCTCACTGAGTTGCTTAGTGCCTTGTTCTTGCCCTGCTGAGCTGCTGGGATCACAGGTGTGCCACCACACCCGGGTTATAGAAATTATCTCCCTCTTTTTTTTTTTTTTGTGGTGCTGGAGATTGAACCCAGGGTTTTGTGCATGGGAGGCAAGCACTCTACCAACTGAGCTATACCCCCAGCCCTATAGCCCTATAGTAATTCTTTAAAGAAACAGTAGTGATAAGAAACGAATACAGTCTCACAGAAAGTGAGAGTTTTGAACCTAAGTCGGCTTGAAAACACTGTTCTTCCCACTACCTTCTGCTCAAATAGGCCTACCACATATGCAGTCAACTCTTTCCTCCTCTGTAGTACCACAGCCTGCTTCTACAGAAGCTCTTGAGAGTTCCACACAAGTTTTCTTATAACATTTTTTCTTTTGACATTTATAAACTTTTTTATTTTCCTTTTTCTTTTGTTCTGGGGATTGAATCCAGGGTCCCTTTGCCACTGAGTTATATCTCCAATACTTTCTATATTTTATTTTGAGATTGGGTCTCTCTAAGTTACTGAGCCTGGCCTCCAACTTTCAATCTCCTGCCTCAGCCTCCCTAGTTGCTGGCATTTCAGGCATGCACTACACGTTTAGGCTTTAATTTCTTTTGAATACATATCTAGGTAAGAAATTCTGGGTCGTTGAGTAGGTGTAATATTCAGTTTTATATGACTCTGCCAGACCTTTTTCCAAAGTAGATATACACCCACCCAAGCTTTGCAATGAGCAGCAACTGTGAGTCCTTAAGGGACTCAAGCCCTTAAGTAGATGCGACCTCTCTGGAGGATTAACGGTCCTTGGGCTCCGCCCTCCTCCCAGCCCCAGCGCCGCCTCCAGTTCTCTGGATCCTTATAGGCTGGAGGAGAGAGGCGGAGCCAGAGGAAGTCATCCTGTCTCTGGCCGAGCTTCCTTCCTTTAGGCTTGGGTGTTTCTCTGTGTCTGCTGGGTTCCCTCTTCACCGCTACAGCTACCAGTTCTGAGGAAGGTGTCACACCGCTCCCCTCTCTCTCGCCTAAGTCCAAAGCATGCTTTTTAGATAAGCTGTCAGTGCGTTTTCTTCATTATGAATTTTCCTGCTCCGGAACGCTTTTTTTCAGAAAAAAACTCTCTGGGAGGTCTCAATCCAATCCCAGGCTCAGTAGAAACAACAATGACATTAGCCCTGGACGAGATCGTACGATACTCAAAGAGCCCCTCCCTCCACCTTAGGATCCTTTCTCTCCAAGCTTTTGCCCTCCTGCTTTTTCAGCCTGAAGCTTACAAGGACAGTCATGAAGAGGACTGAAAAGAAAGAGTATTTGTTTCACGGTCGTCCAGCTTCGAACACAACTGCACCTAGCACTGCTTCCTCACCGGGCAGCCAACAGTCATTTTGTTGAACCTCTCACAGAGGTGATCACTCCCTCCTTGAAGGATCTTTCTTTCTCCCTTCTCTCTTTCTATCTGTCCCTTCCTCCTCCCCTCTCTCCCCTCCCTCCCTCCCTCTCTTTCAAATCCATAACTACGAAATGATTCTCAATATTTCATATCCCGCCTTCCCTTTTCCCTGGAACTCCAGATCTCATCTCCACTTGTGTTTCTGGTATCTCCACGTGGATGCCAGCAGGTATGTCAAACTCACTTTTTCCAGAACAGAACTTTTAATACTCCCCTTCTCAAATGCAATAAACACGTTTTTCTCCCATCTTCATCTCAGTAAACGACACCACTGTTTGGGGGCTCAAGTGGAAAAACTACTCATCTTTGATTCCTTCTTCACCCATCACATTTCACCCACCACAAAAACCTGTTCATTCCTCTTCCCCCACATTGGGGATTGAGCCCAGGGGTGCTCTACCATTGAACTACATTCCCAGCCCTTTTTATTTTTTATTTTTTAATTTTGTCACAGGATCTTCCTAAGCTGCTC